AAGAGCTATCTACAACAGACAGATTATTCATAATATTGTCACAGAACTCCATCAGTAGATCTGAACTATCATTTAAAAGGAATGGCTCAAATTTTTACAAATCTGCTTTTGGGCGATGTCACCTAGAGGAAGATGAGAAGAGAGATGATACTGTCTCAAAAACAGTATAACAGTCTGACTAATGACATTTAACTGTTTGTATATTTTTGCAACGAGCCCAGTTTTTAATAGTTTGAAGACACAATAAGAGTACAGCCTAACGTATTGCGTTTTCTACCAAGGTTCCCCTTTGACCCTCGTTTGCATCAGAACAACTGCTGCATTCTCAGCCTACAGTGCTGCACGAGGCAGCTGTGACGTCTTTACAGAATCGCAGAGCAACTTTGCTTTTCTCATATACAATAAATGACTGGGCGCGCTGTTATGCTATTCTGCTGAAACAGTGTTTCTGCAGTGGCGAGGACTAAAAGAAGGCAGGTAAAGAGATGCAGTAGCAGCCTCTGCAGAAATGTTTCATGTACTCTGCAACATTTGAGGGGAGAGCATCTCATCTGCACCTAATAAATTCATCTGGAGGAAAATATCACAAGTTAACAGTAGTAAAAAAAAGTTTAACACAAGTTGTTATACTTTGAAGGTTATCCCCCTTCTCTTTTCTCACGTTTCGCCTCCTTTGCTCACAGCTCTGGTGGAAGGAAGATGCAAGGAGAGACGTCAAGGAAAATAATTTAGGAAGGGTAATTTAGAAAATGTGGTAGGAAGGGGTTTTGTTTACTCATAAATATCAAAGTTCTTGTTAATGAACTCAGTCAAGAGTTTGGTCTCTCTGTTGATGGAGATGGACTACGAATGGAGCCTTGCGGTACACCTGAAATAACCGGAAGAAACTGTGAAGTATGAGAATCAACCTTCACTTGCTGCGACCTATTTAAAAGGTAATTATGGAACCATGTTAGTGGCTGTCCCAAAATTCTAATAGGGTCAAGTTGTTTCAATAAGATGGAATGATCATCTGAGTCAAAAGCTTTGGCTAAATCAATGAATATTGCTGCACAATACAGTTTAGAGTCCAGTGCAGATGCTATATTATTGAGAACTTTCAGAGCAGCCGCAATACAACCATGCCTTGAACAGACTGGGCGCTGGACAAAATATTAGAACACTTCAAATATTGTGTTAGCTGCTTCTTCACCAGTTTTTCAAAAACTTTTGACACACAAGATAGAATAGAAAGGTTTATAGAGTAACAGATAACACTGGCATGATTCCCACCCTTAAAAAGAAGACGAACAGTAGCAGCCTTCCACTCAGCAAGAATTTCAGCAAAGAAGGAAAGGTTAAAAATACTAGTGCCGCAATGAACAGAGACGCAAACTTATAAAATAATAGAGGTAGCTTGTCCAGCCCAGCAGGCTTTTTAGGGTCTAGAGATTATAAATCCCTCCTGACCTTGTTCTCCGTGACTAAGTGAAAACAACATTTTTGCAAAAGGGAACATAAGCCAGGTTGAATCTGGAAAGAGTCAGAGAAGACACAGGACGATTTACAATTTCCCTAAGTTCCAAGCTGAAGAGCTCAAGCTAGTCAATGTGGATACTGGAACACCACCAGAAACTGCAAAATGCACATTAAAAATATTACCTATGATATTCGTTCTTTGCCCATGACTACAGTATCATCTACTACAAGAGAAAATGACAAAACTGAGGACATATTTTCCAATTGTGTTGCAGTTTTCCAAAATAACTGTAGAGTGGAGACTCTCTAAAATAAGCAGACTTCAACTCACGGCTTGTGTTGCTATGCAGTAGTCCCATCCATCCATCCATTATCTTTACCCGTTTGTTCCATTTTGGGTCACAGGGGTCACTGGTGCCCATGTCCAGCAATCACTGTGTGAAGGACGGGGTACACCCTGGACAGGTCGCAAGTCCATCACAGGGACACATAGAGACAAACGAGACAAACAAACATTCACTCTCTCACTCACACCTAGGGACAATTTAGAGTTACCAATCAGCCTAACATGCATGTTTTTGGTCTGTGGGAGGAAACCGGCGCACCCGGAGAAAACCCACGCATGCACGGAGAGAACATGCAAACTCCACCCAGAAAGGCCCCTGGACCGGGGTTTGAACCAGGGACCTGCTCGCTGAGAGGCAGCAGCTCTACCAGTTGCATCACCGTGCTGCCCATGCAGTAGTCCCTCGATTCTTCATTCATTCATTCATTCATTCATTCATTCATTCATTCATTCATTCAACCTTTATTTAAACAGATAAGTCCCATTGAGCCTCAAAGACTCATTTGCAGGTGAGACCTGTTTGGACAGACAATAAAAGTGGTGAAAAATAACACACTGGGTTTGGAGACAAACAATTTCCTAACAAGCTTTTAACCTCTGGTTGAAGGTCAACATCGTGGAGGCACAGATTATCACGGAGGTTATGTCCCACACCCCCACGATAGGTGAAAAACCGTGATGGACTTTGTCGGAATGCTACATTTATTTTAGTATTTCTATATATTTTAAGGATTCATAAACCTTTCCCACGCTTTTGCAATGTCCTAAACTCTTAAATCTATGTAATTTGAACAACATACAGTACGTATATGTACTGTACAGTAACTACTGCAAAATTTTATGAGTAGTCACCAGCTCTGCAGGAGCTCGGTTCCAGACAGACCAGGATGGAGCTAGCAGAGCTCCTGGTTAAAACAGGTATTAGCTAACCTTCTATTGTTTTTTTAATTCATTCATTTAAAATAAACAAAACAAATTCATCAAAAAGAAAATAAAACATTGAATGAAAAGGGTGCAAAGAAGAAGAAAAATCTTATAATATCTGTTCCTTATTTAAAATTATATAAAATAGTTACAAACAAAACAACCTACACTTGAACAATCTCCAAATTGAAAACAAGAAACATCAGTCATTCTTCACATGGTATTCCATACCTTCCCAACAACTTTAACTTAATCATCTTTTTAAATATATAAATTGTTTTATAAATTTTTATGGTGATATCAATACAATTCCACAATCCTGTTCCCTGAATTCAACGCTTAATAGAGGTTTTACAAACATTTCCATTCTCTTAAGGTTATAATGACTCACGTTTTTAAAGTTTTAATTGTATCTGTGGGGTAATATATTTTATTACGAGCTTTATACATGACATGTAAAATACTATATTCAACCAAATCATAACATTTTAATCATTTCAACTGATGAAATAATGTATTTGTTGGGCACTTCCTACTAATTCTTATAGCTTTTTTTTTTTGTAAAATACAAATAGGATTTGTAATTGTTTTGCATGCTTTTCCCCAAACTTCAATAACGTATATTAAAATGGAACAATCATTACATTCAACAATATATACAAAGCTTTGTCATTCAGAAACTCTTTTACTTTACACAGTAATGCAATTGATTTTGCTGTTTTTATTCTTAAGTAATTTACATGAGATTTCCATGTCAGCTTAATTCTCATCAATAACGACACCCAAAATTTTTATTTCATTCACTATGGATTTCAATGCTGTCAATTTTTAACTAGCCCTTCACCGTTCAGGAACTCAAATTGTAAAAAGACTACCTAGAAGTTAACTTTTTTTATAATTCGAGTTAGCCTTTTGCTCCTTTTAGCTGCTAGCTAGAATATTTGATCCTTTTATATCATATGGCCTTTTCTTGTAGCTTTTAGCTCGCATTTTAAAGGTTTTCTCTTTTAGGTAGTGCTTTACTGTTTTATTAGTTAGCTAGCATTTTGCAACTTTTAGCTATTAATAACAGTTAGACCTGCAGCTTTTAATTGGTCTTTTACTACTTTTAGCTTCTAGTATTTTTTTTTTTTTTTTTTGCATTTTTAGCCTTTTGCTGCTTTTTGCTTCTAGCTTGAATTTTGATGCTTTTACAGCCTTTTGCTAAGTTTGCTTTTCTTTAAGCATCAAGATAGTGTTAGGCTACTTTTATCTATTAGCTAGCATTTTGCTGTTTAGGTTTTAGCTACTGTTTTACCACTCAGAGTTCATTCTGAATTATCACAGAAAATGTCATTTCTCTAGTTTCACACCCTCCTCCTGTGATTATCACCTAGTTTACATTATTTGTTGTTCAGCAGAAGATTAAAAGAGATGTTACAAAAATAGCAGAGTTTGCGCTGCTTAATAGAGCAGCCAGTTTCACACACAGGACAGCAAAATCTCCTACGATTACTACCACTCTGAAGGGCGACAGCACCTCAGGGTGCCAAAATAATCAGTGGCGCTGCTGCAGATAAAGAGCTGCCCGGGAACACTCCCACACTCACTTCACACCTGAGTCACAAGAAAACCAAACACGACCGTGACTCGGGAGAACGCGTTCTGAAACGTGTTAATCAAACACCTGAACGCACGCAGCACGCCACATCAGCACACAGAGACAAATGAGCACGAAGGATCATCTAAAAACATCAACGCGCACTAAATCAGAGCAAAAATAAAGGCCTAACGCTATTTGAAAGAATGCAAACCTATAGTTCATTAACGTTTTTTACGATGAAGTCTCAAGGCCAGTGTCTGCACGAGTGGAGGGGATGGAGAAGTGATAAAGAAAAGATGGATAAGACTATTACCTGGATGTGATGGGACAGCCCTGTTTAAATCTCAGTCAGCCATGTTGTCGGCCTGCTGAAAACTAACGGGCTTGTTCTTTTCTCTCAGTTTGTGATCAAACCTCACTGTGTGACAGAGCGTGACTCTAGTGTCCACCTCTAAGTTTAACCTGATTCACTATTTAACCGGACAGGTTTTAACCTCAGACTCTTACAGTTGCAGTCATGATTTGGACGTAACGCCTGAGCTGAGGTTTTGAACCTGTCCTGCCATAACGCCACCTTCTCTTCCTCATTTAATCTGTTTTTTTTCTCGTGCATCACTTGCATCTTTTCTTGCACCTCATGTCCCACTCTGACCCCCCCCCCCCCCCCCCCCCCCCCCGGTCCTCTCTCAGATGCCCAGCCCACAGAGGCAGAGACCGCCGTGTGGAACCAGGTCAGTGCCGTGCTGGAGGAGGCCCACGGGATCCTGGCAGAGCTGCAGTCCTATAACGGCGCGGGGCAGGAGATACGAGAAGTGAGGAGCATGAAGGGGCTTGAACATTCAGAAAAGCGCACGTCTCCATGGACATATTTAGCTTTTGCTTAACAACACGTGATCGCTTGAGTTCATATATTTTCAGAATGAATGTTTCTGTTGAGGGTCTAACTAATAATACAACTACGGGTCAGACTTTAGCATCTGCAGGGCCGTGCTTCCACTTCTATTAAAAAAATAGTTAAGCCAGTTTGAAGAGGGCTTCTGTGGAAATGTTAGGATTTTTTTACCTCACCTGTTTCAGACAACTTATTGATCAACCTCAGTTTAAATAGAGTTTAATTCTGACAGAACTGACAAGCTAATGACTAACCTGAACTCAGCTGATGACCAAAGTGGTTTGCTGCCAACTTCAGTCTTTAAATGTTCACAGCAGTTCATCCATCCATTATCTTTACCCGCTTATTCCATTTTGGGTCACGGGGGTCGCCGGTGCCCATGTCCAGCAATCACTGGGCGAGGGGCGGGGTACACCCTGGACAGGTCTCCAGTCCATCACAGGGCCACATAGAGACAAACGAGACAAACAACCATTCACTCTCTCACTCTCACCTAGGGACAATTTAGAGTTACCAATCAGCCTAACATGCATGTTTTTGGTCTGTGGGAGGAAACTGGAGCACCCGGAGAAAACCCACGCATGCACGGAGAGAACATGCAAACTCCACCCAGAAGGGCCCCTGGACCGGGGTTTGAACCAAGGACCTGCTCGCTAAGAGGCAGCAGCTCTACCAGTTGCGCCACCACAGCAGTTCGTATGAAGTTTATTTCATTATAACCCTTTATATTACAGCCAGTTTCATTCAGTGGTTATTCCAGCAGAGATATTCTAGTACTTCTGTTGTAAGTACTCTAAGGCTGTGCCCAAAGTGATGATAGCACTAACCTTTGCTACCAATCAAGCTGGTAAATAAACATAGATTAGCCAGGTTATTAACACTTGATGGCAACGTAAACATCTTTAAAATAGAGTTCACCTGAACTGCTAAAAGACCTCTGTGGTATTTAACTTTTTTAGATTTTTCTACCTGGATTATTGAGCATGCATCAGGATACCTCTGTGGTAGTTTGTTAACATAAATAGCAGCTAGCTGCAGCACTTCCAGCAAGAATAATGTACTTTTACGAGAATAACTGTTTAAATAAAAACACTATAGAGTAAATGTTTAAAAAGTTGGTGGCACGGTGGCTCAGTTGGTAGAGGTGTCACCTCTCAGTGAAAAGGCTGCTGGTTTGAATCCTGGCTGGAATCCTTTCAAGGTGGAGTTTGCATGATCTCTCCGTGCATGTGGGGTTTCCGCCCACAGACCAAAAACATGCATGTTAGACTGATTGGTAACTCTGAATTGGCTGTAGGTGAGAGAGTGAATGGTTGTTTGTCTCATTTGTCTCTATGTGTCTCTGTGATGGACTGGAGACTTGTCTTGCACAGTGACTGCTGGATATGGGCATCAGAGACCAACAAGGAAGAAGCGGGTAAAGATAATTGGATGGATGGATGGATGGATGGATGGATGGATGGATGGATGGATGGATGGATGGATGGATGGATGGATGGATGGATGGATGGATGGTAGCTTGTCAGTTCAGTCAGAATTAAACTATTTCTTCAAACTGAGATTGTTCAAAGAACTGTCTACAGCAGGTAAGATAGTAACTGCTCATCAATATTTCACAGGATCCATCTTCAAAAATGGATGAACTGTTTATTTAAGAAGCAGCTTAGCAAACCCTAAGAAACACATCTTAAAAATATCCATGCTATTTAAAAATAAAATTTAAATCATCTCTTCCAGTAAAAACAGAAATTCTGTTTGCCTAAAAACTGTGGCTGTACAAGTACAAGTACAAGTACAAAAACTTATAACAAATATTTCTAGAAATTAAGTCTAAAATAAATGAATGCATATTTTTAGTAGAGCGTTGTTTACTAATGTTGGGGGAGTGGTGGAGCAGAGGTCAGAGAAGGCAAACCTGTGATCGGAAGGTCGCCGGTTCAATCCCCTGGCCCGACAACATCAAAATGTGGGTGAGATAGGTGAAGCACCCACACCTGCCTCCACCCTAATGTGCTCCACGCTGGGCCCTTGAGCAAGGCCCTTAACCCCCACCATCTGCTCCTCTGGATGCCCTGGACAGCAGCTCTCTGCTCCACACAGAGGGCTGTGGTAGCTCGGTGGTCTGTGGTTGAGTCAGGAAGAACATCCAGAGTAAAAACGATCTCCAAGTCTTCAAGTGTTAGTTGCTGTGGTGACCCCTGAAGAAAATTGTGTAATGTTTGGTCAGTTTTTACAAATTTAGCTTAAAAATGTCACAGAGTTCCAGAGTGAGGAAGTGCAAGTAGTATTTTAGTATTTCAGGCTTTTTACTGTACTTGTACAAATCCTTCCTCATCAAACTGGAATGTTTCCACTTCTGTATCTGTCAGCTTCCATCTGTATCCTGTTCGATTTGAACGTTGAATCATCACTTTCACCGTGAAAGACCCTGAAGGGCAGAAAAGTGAAAAAGCTTTACTGGTTTCAGATACAACATCGAGGAGGAGAGGAGATGGGATGGGGTGGGGGTCTTCTTAAACGAATTTTAAGTAACATCTGCCTGTGCCCCCTGCCTGCAGGCCATCCAGAACCCAGGCGACCTGGCTCTTCAGGAGAAGGCCTGGAATGCAGTGTGCCCCTTGGTGGCCAAGCTGAAGAGGTTCTACGAGTTCTCCCTGAGGCTGGGTGAGCCCGGATCAGTGTTCAGTACATAACACAGTGATCACAGAGAGAGGGTGAAAAATCAGCTGTTAATGAAGCAAGTCCATCTGTGTTGTTCTACATGATGCATTGTTGTAGGTGACTGGGTTGTAGGAGTATGAGTTAGATTAGAAACCTGATGAAAGCAGGTGAAATAACTGTTATCTTTATCTATTCTGCACACAAATCTGAGTAGCTTACAATTTTGTGCCCACAACAAGTCCCCACCAGTTAATGCGAAGTAGATCATCATCTTTCTGCCTTTTCAGTCCAACATGCATTCTTAAACGCACATGAACGCCTCACGCTGCCGTGTCCTCTCGAGCATCTCTACAGCATCCTGACCCAGCAGCTAGGCAGCCGTTGCTACGGAAACAGTGGTACATGGCCGTCCAGTTCTAACGGAGAGAGAGCGAAACAGAGTTCAGCTTCCGCCTCTGCTCTGCCTTCCAATAATACCTCCATTTCAGGGACATTGTGTTCTCGGCTTGCTAGAAACGTGAGGGCTTGTTAGTAATCGATGGTGATGGAGCGTCACAACGAGAAACACCTCAAAAATATCTACAACATCCCTCCTCGTTCCTGCAACGTAGCCCACCTTTGCTATTTGATTAAAGGTGGCCGGAAAGAGTTGATGGATCCCATTTACACTAAACAGCCACAATGTTTCTTCATTGAATCCGACTTTAAAGCATCAGGGGTGAGCAAAGAACCCGTACACTCTGCACAAACAGCAGGAGACAGACTGGGGTTTCTGCCCAGGCCCTTAGATTAAACACTTCACTGCTGTATTTATAGCAGGCCCTCATGCATCTTTAATGCAGAGGAAGGGATGGGGCCGCAGGAGGCTTTGCTGCTGAGGCATCTCTACAACACCCAGCCGGTCTGATTTGTTACAGGCAGCACAAAAGTTTGGTTCAAGGCCAACGAGCGGCACAGGGGATCGGTACGGTAAAGGGCACTCCACAGAGACACTCAGGTTCTCGCGGTGTGGAGTTAAATCTACAGCAAACACCTGTGGACACAGCAGAATAATTTTCTGAGCCATATAGTTTCAGGTTGATCTGAAGCATCAGCTCCTGTGGACCACAGTGTTTGCAGACCTCATTGTGATCTGTAGCGAGAGTATTGAGCAGGTGGAAGAGAGTCTGGAGAGGCAGAGTGTAACCGTGAAGCTGAGCTGAGTACATGTATTGAAGGTAGATGAACTGTAATTACTTGGGCACAGCTGTCTAGAGAAGATAGAACATGTGTTTGTTGACATGTTTTAGTTAGTTATTGTTTTAGTGTTGGTAGTTAAATTCCTGCTGTGGATCTCCTTGCAGAGAATGCCCTGCGCAGCCTGCTGGAGGCGCTGACGAGCCCGCCCTACGCCCCCATGCAGCACCTAGAGCGGGAGCAGGCCCTGGCCAAGCAGTTCGCCGAGATCCTTCATTTTACCCTCAGCTTCGATGAACTGAAGGTGCCGGCAATCGTTTCTGCTCTAGTCCTCCCCCTCCTCCATCGCTGACCTTTACCACACAGAACATCTGTTTAGTTGTCGATAAACCACAAATCTCTCCATTTTCTGTGAACGTGCAGATGACGAACCCAGCCATTCAGAATGACTTCAGCTACTACAGGAGGACCATCAGCAGGAACAGGCTGAACAATCAGCAGGTGGGGGGTCCGGGTGCTTCATGTGTAGAAAGTGATGTTGCTTTAATAGAATGAATACGTTTATTTTGATCCTGTTTGACACATGAAAAAATCTATTAAGAAAGCCATACATTCTTTTTCAACACCATTTAATTCAGGATTAATATTTAAACAGTTAACTCCTCCCAATAACTCCTTAATACAGGTGTTTCCAAACTTTTCCATGCCATAGCCCCCCAAACAGCATTAGCTTATGGCCGAGGCCCCCCTCGCAAACCCACAAAACATGCTACTAAATATGTAAAGAAACATCAACTTGTAGAATGTTTTAACTTTTATTCACTACATTCAATTAATTATTACAGCTGCTGAGCATAACAATGTTATTAACTAACATGTTTTAAACACTGAATTATATTCACACTGAAAACAACAACTTTTCAACAAACCAGAAGAACAAAGAACAGAAATCTAACTTCTCTCAAGCGTGTTTATCTGGAAATGACAGATACAGATTGCCCTAGTGGGCAATTTTTATTATTATTATTATTATTTTTTAGTTTAGCTTTTTTTTCTTCTTCTTCTTCTCTCCAGCTTTCTGTTGCCCCCACAGGGGCTGCGGCCCCCACTTTGAAAATCACTGCCTAAATGACTCGTTTTCTACAGCCCTCATTCCACATTGTTCCTATGTGGAGCATCAACGATCAGTTGTGTCAGAAGCTTTATGTAAATCAATCCCCGATGATTAATAACAGACGTGTTGAGCTGGTGTCCTCGTAGCAACAAAAGGTCTCGATCAGAGTTTCTTTAGATGTTTGGATGAACCAAAGCGTGGCAGCTCTGACTTCATGGGGTGACTTGTGTTATCAGCTGTGTGACATCCCTGTTCTCCTGACCTCTGCAGCTGGACGCAGAGAACGAGGTGAACAACGAGATGGCCAATCGGATGTCTCTATTCTACGCCGAGGCCACACCGATGCTGAAAACTCTGAGTAATGCCACCACCAAGTTTGTTTCAGAGGTGCCTCTTTGTTTGTAGAAGCCCAGATGTTGTAGCTTCACTTGGCTCTGTCTCCATCTAGTGTGAGAACGTTTCATCCCTTCAAACGTGCGCTCTGGTCTGTATTTCTCCAGAATAAGACCCTGCCCATAGAGGACACCACAGACTGCCTGAGCACCATGGCCTGCGTGTGTCGTGTCATGCTGGAGACTCCGTGAGTTCTGGACGCTTCCCGGCTCCATCCTCCCCTCATTTTCCACTCTGAGTGTCTGAAGCCTCATTTCAAACCACCAGGCCTCTGTAAATGCTGATTCAGCACTTGCACTTGTTTTCTTGTTTGCTTTTGTGCATTGTTTCTGGATATTTTGTGCTATTGTAGTCATCCATCCATCCATCTATCCATCCATCTATTCATCCATCCATCATCTCTACCCACTTCTTTATTTTCGGGTCACTGGTGCCCATATCCATCTATTACTGTGTGAGAGGCGAGAGACACCCTGGACAGGTCTCCAGTCCATCACAGGGACACAAAGAGACAAATGAGACAAACAACCATTCAGTCTCTCACCTAGGGACAATTTAGAGTTACCAATCAGTCTAACATGTATGTTTTTGGTCTGTGGGAGGAAACTGGAGTACCCGGAGAAAACCCACGGAACTCCACCCAGAAAGACCCTCGGCTGGAATTTGAACCAGTGACCTTCCAGCTGAGAGGCAACAGCCAACTGAGCCACCGTTCTGCCTCTATTTCAGCCTTTCGTTTCAAAATGATCGGCTTGTTTACAAGAAAATAGCTACAACTTTAAACTTTTGTAACTTTGTTTTAGTTTTCAGCAGGACTTTAGATACATTCAAGTAGCTCATTGTAACATTTAGCTTTAAATGAGCTTTTTGTTACTTTAACCTGGTAGCTAGAGTTTAGCTGCTTTTAGCTAGTCTGGATACTTTAGCTTTTAGTTACCCTTTAACTACTTTAGCTTTTGCCCAGCCTTTTGCTCCAGTTACTGGTGTAGGTTCTAGTCATCTGGGACATGGGAGTATAGCTGCAAACAGCCTTTCCCTACTTTTAGCTAACATTTAACTAATTCTGGCTTTTGGTCAGCATTTTGCTTCTTTTAACTTTAACAACTCAGCTTCAGCTTCTTCAACAAACTCCTTCAGCGCAGAGCATTCATGCTGAATTTTCACTAAATTAATTCTCTTCAGTTATAATCTTCTTTTTGTTTGTTTGTGTTTTGTTCCATCACCTTGAGTTCCTCTTGACATCACATCTCGCCCAGTTGTTTTGTTTGTAACAAACGTTGGGTCCTGTAAAAGTCCTGTCCTCTGGTCCTGGCTCTGTCTCAGGGAGTACCGCTGCCGCTTCACCAACACAGACACCATGCTGTTCTGCATGAGGGTGATGGTGGGCGTCATCATCCTCTACGACCACGTTCATCCTGTCGGAGCTTTTGCCAAAACCTCCAAAATCGACGTGAGTGCAACGAGTATATCATTTTTACAAATACATTTAGACTCAGGTGGATCCTAAAATAATCTGAGACAACAGTTAATATTACCATATTTTCCGGCCTATAAGTCACAGTTTCTTTTCATAATTTACTCGCCCTGCAACTTACACACCGAAGTGACTTATTTATGGATTTTTTTCCCCATATTGTATAAACCAGTTTTTGGCTGCGATATGACTGTTTTCAATCATTCTGACATTGAAAATATTGAACAATACCATTTTAAGCCGCTAGATAGCACTCGAGTAGCATGGAACTGTTAACAGTGTTGTCCTGTAAGCAGTGTGGACCTGTTAGCAGCATGATCCTGTTAGCAGCATGATCCTGTTAGCAGTGTGGACCTGTTAGCAGCGTGGTCCTGTTAGCAGCATGATCCTGTTAGCAGTGTGGTCCTGTTAGCAGCATGATCCTGTTAGCAGCGTGGTCCTGTTAGCAGCATGATCCTGTTAGCAGTGTGGTCCTGTTAGCAGCATGATCCTGTTAGCAGTGTGGTCCTGTTAGCAGTATGAT